ACATGCGTAAGTCTGCCATAGCTTGAGTATCTAAGGACAACCTGTGTGTGTCGTGTAGGAAGAGTGGAAATAGAGTCATGATATGAAGGAGCAGCCTTGAGGTATGATACGCATGGCAAAATTTAGAGAACCCAGCAGGGACTGTAGCTCTTTGCGGTTGCAAGTACCGAGCTGAAGCTAGTGGTTGATGTACGTCAGAATGTTTCCTATCTTGTCGTGCGGCAGGCTTGCTTGCATCTTGGTTGAGTCTAATTGAATACCCAGGAATGTGATAATCATGTGTGGCCCCTCGGTTTTCTTTGAGGAGATTGGGACCCCTAGCTGTTCAAATAGATTGATGGTAGTTTTGAGGCTACTTGGAGAGGAAGTGTTCTCCTCGACCAGTAAGAAATCATCCAGGTAATGTAATACTGTAGGGCATCTGGCTATGTTCAATAGTAACCAGCACAATGCTTCGGCAAATGTGTCGAAAATAGCCTGGATACTTTTGGACCCAAAAATTAAACAGGAGAAAAAATAGTTCCCGGACCACTTGATGCCATGCAGGTGCCACAGTGTAGGGTGGATTGGCAGCAATTTAAAGGCGTGAATAATATCGGTCTTATTAAGCCATGCTCCGACCCCTGCTTGTATGATAGCTGTAATGGCGTGATCTATGGTAGTGTATTGCAGGGAGAATTCCTCGAAGGGTATGAGGGAATTGAGACTGGGGTTAGCCGAGGAGTGTGGTGCAGACAGGTCAATGATGAGTCTCTGTTTAAGGGAAGATTTCCCTGTGACAATACAAATGGGGTTAGTGCGCCATTCTTTGAATGGAGGAGACTTGAAAGGCCCCAATAAGAAACCCTCAGCAATTTCTTGGTTTATGAGAGTGTCAACAGCTGTGGGGTTGTGTTGTGCGGATTGTAGATTAGGGCATTCCAGAATCCCGGACGGTATGTGTAGAATACCCGTGTGGAAGCCTTTTGTTAAACCAGAGATAAGGAAATCTGCCAAGTGTTTAGACGGGTGATGTGACAGAAATGCTGTAAATACCGAAATGTTAATGGACGTTAGATAAGGCTTTTTATTTGGACACATGGTTTTGGCATGTGCCCTAAAACATTTTAAACAGATATGCAATAATCTACAACCGCTATAATTGCAAGACCCAACATTGAAATTATTACATATCTGGGACTTGCCCAGAAACTTGATCGGGTGTCCCAGTTTGTCTCTGGTCAATTTCTCTGGAACACCAGAGGAACTAGCTCCTTGCGTGGAGGCATGTTCGTCCGCCGTGTTGGGACAGATATTTGTCGTATGTGCAGTAGAGGAACAGTATGCACAAGCCAGTGTTCATAGACCTGCAAAGTGTCTGCAAAATATGACGGTATCAATCCTTCCCCAGTTGGATCTTGTTCCATACTGGGAGAAGGCCCCAGACACTTTTGCAGAAAAATACCTATGGTAGTCATAGAAGGCAATATTTGTTGCCCAGGTCTACCAGCTTGTGCATATAAAGATCAAACTCCTCTCGTCTATTGGGATAGACCGCACAGGTGACATCCCGGTAAATACCAAAAGCCAGTACAAACTCGGGAATAGTCAATTTCCTGTTTAGGCGGGCGTCCCTAGATCTGACCACAACAGACACATCATCATAAGTCTTATTCTCCACGATATCCTGGGAGGCAATCAGCAGAGAAGCCAGGCTGACGTCTTTAACTTCCAGGATATCTATTTTTAGGTGCTCAGGGATCAAATGAGCAGGGCTAACTTCCTGGTCCTCCTGGGAGATGAATGCAGCAACTAACAGGGGAAGCAGCAGCGGGTGGCCCGGCTAGGGTAAGGGCCGTGGTGACCGACTCAAGTTTCTCCAGCCTGGAATTGACCTTGCTCATGGACGCCATGAGTGATGATAACATGGAATGTATGTCTCCTGGGTTGGATTGGCTGGGCCCTTCCCCGGCATCCATGTTGTTAGTCGAAGTACGTAGTTATTTGAAAAGCTCTGCTTTCCTTGCTGTAGCGGGGTAGGGGATTTGCCGTCTCCTCAATTCAGTGGTTATACAAGGGATCGTCCAAGATCTGATTGATGCTGGACTAGTTACCTCTCCTCCTTGTGTAGGAGAAATTGCTCTAGCCGGAGTGCTAGGCAGGGAGAAATCCTCTACCCCTTCCTGAGACATACTAAAAACAAAAAAATTAATTAGTGTATGAAAACCGACAAGATCATAATGGCAGGCTAGCTAAGCCGGATGGCTAAACATTACACTTGTTTGGTGACAGGTGAGGCCCTACCAGTTGCCAAGTGGCTTGAGAGGCTCTATGCGTTGGGGCGAGAGGATTCGAGGACACCCGTCATAGTGGCAGGATTGTAGGCCTCTCGGTGACTGTAACACAGAAAAACAGGGAAAGGGAGTGACAGGTGAGGCCCTCTCTATGCGACATGCGAGGCGACTAGCTCACGTGTGGCCCGATGGGTGTTTGCCGCCAAACGTTGAGACGGGGTGTTGGCCTCGCGGGACCACTAACCCATGGCAAATGCCAAGAAGGGGTAAAAACCTATTGGGGAGCCTGTGACCCTATTGCAAGTACTCTAACCTCCCCCAGGTTAGAGGGGGGGAAGGGATGAAATGTACAGAACCATATGAGCTGGAGTACGTACCTGGTAGCATGAAATATCTCAGCGAATTCGTGTGGTGAAACATATAAACCTGGACAGCCTGAAACGGGTAAAAAAGGTAATAGTGCAGTCTGTGTGAGAATGTGTAGACTGTGTGGCCCGTACCAGAGGGTTTTTTTAAGGGTTTGATTGTGGAGTTTTAATTGGTAAATGCCAGGAAAGTGTAGTAAATACCATGACAACATAATTGTGCTACAAAGGCCAAGTGATGCAGTGTCTTTAATGCCAAGATTCTGGCTAGAAACAGGGGGGATGTATGATGGGTGTCAAGTGAGAAAAGAGGAGGGGGTGGGGGAGGCCGTGGCCTATATGTAAATGCGCTATGCTGATATATAATTAACGACAAAAAGGGGCAGGGATGAAAACAATTATCTAACGTAATGATGTAAAGTTGTATATAATATTACTGTAATGTAAAGAACGTATGATTGGTTGGATCAGTACGTGTGATTCAACCCGAGAATTCATTACTTGGAAAAGGAAACCATATCCTTATTTATCTGTTGTGTCGTAGTTTAAAACACAGAAATGAGGCCTGTAACTTTAGGCTGAACAAAACTTTTTTTTTGTTATGGAAACCAATACAATTCGGATCATTTTAAACGGTAATAGAATTAATCTATATCTATTAAGCAAAGCAAATTGTTTAACCGAATGGTATATACTTGAAATGATGAATGTAATCCACGAAAGGATTTAGGTGAAATACATTTTTATATATATATATATATATATATATATATATATATAATATATAAATGTATTTCACCTAAATCCTTTCGTGGATTACATTCATCATTTATATATATATATATCCTTGTCTGCAGATAGCACGGTCCTCTAGGGTAAACAACAGGCACAGTCCTTTGGTTTTCATGTAATCCAGGCAATTATTAAACTCCACCACAGCAGCAAATGAAAACAACAATAACACAAATCCCTATAAACAAAAGCCTAGCTCGTCTGAGAACTAACTAACATCAGATTCCCTCTCTCTCAGGGGTTAAACTAGAACAAAATAATATTTGGGTACCAACCTAGTGCCTTTGTCAGATCTCTGCACTCCACACTCTGTTAGCATGTGGCTTCCATTCCTTCTAGAAATAAACAGAAATCTCTCTCTTTTCCGCACTCCCAGTGCTCCAAGCCAGCCTTGACTGCTTTCCTTTTGCACTCCCAGTGCTCAGTCTCCTTGACTCCCTCCCTGGAGAGAACAACCTCTCTCCAAACTGCTTCCAGGGAGGAAGCCAGCAATCCCCCCTTTACCTGCATAGCAGGGAGGGGTTTATTCCCACTGCTACAGCTGCTTATCTACAGCTGAGCAGTGGGTTGGAGACAGTTCCAAAAAACTCTTGCCTGGACCTGATTTCTCCCAGTTGTGTATAAACTGAGGAGTGGAGCATTGGCCCACCCTGCTCTCCAAATGCTCCACCACAGGGGCCCATAACTAAACGGTGGTTTGTGTTGCCTACAACACATACTACACATACTCCCCCTGGGGTTAAATGTTATAGGACTATCTGCCTTCACTTTATCACATATCTCCCCCCCCAGCTCAGACCCATCGGGGCGAGCGGCCTTCAAACACAAACCGTGAACATTCATAACACCAGCCCTGACTAGCTTCTCAGTTACAGGAAGTGGCCTAATGTAGATGGCAGCTACCTTGCTCCCTTGTAGTTTAAGGAGCCCCCACCCAATAGGATAACCCAAATAGTTAGCAGTGTTAGCGGTCAAACCAGCAGCCCTCACATTATTCACAACTAAGCGGGCCTTCATCAGGTGTGCTACCCAGTCCATCATGTGAAACACCACATCAAGGTAGGCAGCTACATACTCTGGCTGGAACAGAACACTTTTCATCAAAGTAACCTCACTCCCTGAATCTATCAGTGCTTGTGCACTCTTCCCTACCACCATCACCACTTTTAGCTGTGCTGTAACACCACCACCAGTCACCATACACATCTTTAAGCAAGACAATACTATCCTATGCAGAGCCCTTATTCCTATGTCACATTGTATTGGCTCTTCACTCTCAGGACAGTTATATGCAATATGTCCTTGCATGTGGCAGTTGAAGCATCTGAGTTTTTTCTCAGTCTGGTCTCGTATGGAGCGCTGTTCTTGTGCCGGAGGCCCAGACTCCCGGCGTAGCTCATCTCTCCTTTGCCTGGTTTCCTCCCCAGGGGTATCCTCTGCTTGCTCAGTCTTGAGTGGCCACCTCTCAATGTCAGCAATGCTTTCCTCTGGGCTGTCTGGCGGTCTCCCTGTTCCCTTGGGGGTGTCCAGAGACGCAGTCATGGCCTCTCGCTGGATCATGAAAGCCCTGGTATCAAACAGCCTGTCAGGCAGTCCGAGTCCCGCCTTTAATTCCACGACTGTGTTCCCAGAATCTGGCAGCTGTATCACGTAGTTAGTGCGCCCAGGCCTTGTAGCAGTAGTCTTTGCCAGCAGATCCAGTTCTACGGCTCCCGAACAATCCTTCAAAGTCTTTGTAGCAATACCAGATGTCTTTGAAATATTTAATTCTGCTACGCCAATGTCACCTACTTTGTAACTTTCGCCTTGGTCGGGCTTAGGTGCGGACGTGCCTATCTTATCACCACAGCTTGGTTCTGTAACTGTCGATCTCTCTTGGCTTAGATCAGAAGCGGCTACTTTGCCTTTCTTGTTTTTACTTTGTTTTGCCACTACTTCTCTGCCTTGCCTTTCTCTGCCAAACTGTTCAACAGCTGGTCGACATTTTTGGGTAGCCTCTGCTACTAAACACTGCACAGCATTTTTTAGCTCAACTGGGGTGCTTTGCTTCTCTCCATTTTGCTCAACTACTCTGCTGTGGTCTTCTCTGACTCCCCAAGTCAGTCTGCTTTTCATGCCTTTGACTTGTTCACTTGGGTGTACATCAGGGCCTTCTGCTTCATTTTTCTTTCCCTGGCTGTATTCACTAGCTTTACTTACACCTTCTGGGTGGTTTTTGCTTACCACCAACTCTTTTTCAAAGACCTCTTTATCTGTTGTGATGCCACTCAGAGCAAGTTTGAGGCTTTCATGTGAAGCTGCAATGTTTTGATTTTCAAATAAACACTTGTCAACTTCAGTAATCAGTTTGTCTCGTTCTGCCTTCTGATTCCTCTGACCTTTCTTACTTTGGCGCATGTCATCAGTGTCACAATCACTGCCTCTTGACAATTCCGGGTTTTCCTTTAGTTTTGCTGGTCTCATTACTACCTTTTTTTCTATTGCTTTTTGTTCCTTGGAGGATCCAGCTGGCTTTTCCCCCTCTTCCATTTTATCACTACTTTTAGGCTCAGTTTCATCGTTCTTGCCTTCTAATTCCTGTTCTCTCTCTTCTGCGTGTTTCTCAACATCACGCTTTGCTGCCTCCATGCTTTTCAGTTTGCTAAAGACTTCTTCTACTGCCTCTGTCATCTTATGCAGGATGTCAGTAGCTTGGTTACGGGGTATATATACACACTGCTCAAAAAAATAAAGGGAACACAATGTAACTCCAAGTCAATCACACTTCTGTGAAATCAAACTGTCCCCTTAGGAAGTGACAATCAATTTCACATGCTGTTGTGCAAATGGGATAGACAACAGGTGGAAATTATAGGCAATTAGCAAGACACCCCCAATGCAGGAGTGGTTCTGCAGGTGGTGACCACAGACCACTTCTCAGTTCCTATGCTTCCCGACTGATGTTTCGGTCACTTTTGAATGCTGGCGGTGCTTTCACTCTAGTGGTAGCATGAGACGGAGTCTACAACCCACACAAGTGGCTCAGGTAGTGCAGCTCATCCAGGATGGCACATCAATGCGAGCTGTGGCAAGGTTTGCTATGTTTGTCAGAGTAATGTGTCCAGAGCATGGAGGCGCTACCAGGAGACAGGCCAGTACATCAGGAGACGTGGAGGAGGTCGTAGGAGGGCAACAACCCAGCAGCAGAACAGCTACCTCCGCCTTTGTGCAAGGAGGAACAGGAGGAGGAACAGGAGCCCTGCAAAATGACCTCCAGCAGGCCACAAATGTGCATGTGTCTGCTCAAACGGTCAGAAACAGACTCCATGAGGGTGGTATGAGGGCCCGACGTCCACAGGTGGGGGTTGTGCTTACAGCCCAACATCATGCAGGACGTTTGGCAAATTCGCCACTGGCGCCCTGTGCTCTTCACAGATGAAAGCAGGTTCACACTGAGCACATGTGACAGACGTGACAGAGTCTGGAGACGCCCTGGAGAACATTCCGCTGCCTGCAACATCCTCCAGCATGACCGGTTTGGCAGTGGGTCAGTAATGGTGTGGGGTGTCATTTCTTTGGGGGGCCGCACAGCCCTTCATGTGCTGAGATGAGATTTTCAGACCCCCTGTGAGACCATATGCTGGTGTGGTTGGCCCTGGGTTCCTCCTAATGCAAGACAATGCTAGACCTCATGTGGCTGGAGTGTGTCGGCAGTTGCTGCAAGATGAAGGTATTGATGCTATGGACTGGCCCGCCCGTTCCCCAGACCTGAATCCAATTGAGCACATCTGGGACATCATGTCTCGCATGCATAGGCGTTGTAGGGAGGTCATACAGGCACGTGGAGGCCACACACACTACTAAGCCTCATTTTGACTTGTTTTTAGGACATTGCATCAAAGTTGGATCCGTCTGTAGTGTGTTTTTCCACTTTCATTTTGAGTGTGACTCCAAATACAGACCTCCATGGGTTGAAAATTTTGATTTCCATTGTTTTAAAAAAAAAATTTGTGTGATTTTATTGTCAGCACATTCAACCCTGATATCTGGTATCCTTGACTTTTGGCTTTCCCTCATCTTTGTGTCTGATTCTGCGTCCCTGACCTCGGCTAGTATTTTGACAATTCTTGGAGACGTTAAGTCCGGCTATTCTAAGGTCCGGTTATAGGTTATCCTTAGTCCTAGGTGTGACACAGTACTGTGTGCTGGATCAACTTGTAATCCTGACACATATTCCCAGCAAACGAATCTGGCAAATTTCAATGTACAAACATGGAAACGGGTCTGTCTGTGTTTTGGTTTCGGAATCTGTGACAGCTTTGCCCGGGATGCAGATGACTGGGTACTACCCCCTGATAGGTTTACGCCAAATATTCCCCATTTCACAGCAAATAGTATGCACTTGTTCATAATTTGAATTGGTGAGCTGCTTATATTTAAAAACAGATGTGGCCTTTGAGAGGTAATTTGCAATCCTGAGCTGCTAAAATGAGACTTGGGCCCAGCATTTACTTTTGAAAAATATGAAAGTGGTGTGTCTCAAATGTGCCCCTTCAACATCCACATATCCCTGAAAAGGGTACACATGGGGGTATTTTACTAAGACGACATAGCTGGGCAACATATTAGGTGTTATAGTGCCGTAGCACACATAAGGATTGCAAAATATACAGTAACATCTCCAAGTGTGTGTCAAAAAGGCAAAAAAATTCTAGTTGCTATTAGACTTGGTACAAACTAGCAAATAAATTATCCAATACTAAGGTTTAAAATATGCCTTTTGAAATAACCTGCGGTGTCTACTTTAAGAAATGGTAGGTTTTTTAACAGTCACGCTGCTATAATCCCCCAAATTGAAACATAGACCCATTAAATCCATCTCTTACAATTCTAATGTAAATACTGAAATGGACAGGTATCCTATATGGCACTGTAGCTTCACAAAATAGTGCCAAAGACATACAATGGGTGTATCGTTGTACTCAGCAGATGTAGCTGAACACAAAACAGAGTTTTTAACTGAAATAGCACACACCAACGTTACAATTGTGTTGTCTTTTATGGCTATTAAGCTTACAAGACAAACATTTTAAATAGTTAAAAGAGAAACATTTAATTTAAACATTTTAAATTCTAAAATCGCTCTACATTAAAAAAAAAAAAAAAACTTAAAATCCTTGACACATTACATATTCTGTAAATCAGAACTAAATTAATTTATTTTTAATTACTTTCCTTAACTTGCGCTAATTATGCACACATTATTATTGCAAAAACTGTAAAAAAAAATCTAATTTTTTTTATAATAAATAATATATATATATATATACACACAAACACACACACACACACATATATGACCTGAAATTAAAGCCCTTTCTGCCCTTTAAAAAACAGTATATGTGTTTGTGAAATAAATAAGTAAAATGCAAATTGTAGTTGAATGCAAATAACAAAAAAATGCAAAAAATGCTTGTGTCATTAAGTGCAAGCCAAGCTTTTGAAGCTGTGTCCTAAAATGCAAAAAATGCTTGTGTCATTAAGCTTTTGAAGCTGTGTCCTTAACGACGAGTGACCGACTTGGTCCGTCACTCAGGGGAGAGCCTTAACGACGAGTTACTGACCGGGACCGTCACGCGCTAAAATTAACCCTAGATCGCGGTGTTAACAGTGCTCCGGTCTGCCTCTATACTAGAGGCAGACTGGGAACACCCAAGAGTGCTGCTCCAGCACCGGTGCTCGCTCTGACAGGCTGTCAGAGCGAGCACATGTGCTCAATGTACTTACCTTTCGCCTGCCTGCACTTCCTGGTTCAGTGTGAAAATCCTGCCCTCTGTTAAAAAATAAATAAAGTTAATTTAAAATCCCACCCCTTTACTCATTTAAATAAAAAATTAACCCCTTCCCTGCCAATTGATCACTGACTACAGTGATCAATTGGCAGGGATTACATTTTACTGTCATCTGTTTTTTATTTATTTATTTTTTAAATATTTAAATTAATTAATAAAATAAATGTAACCCCTAAGTGTTAAAAAAAAAGAATTAAAACACAGGGGTTACATTTATTTTATTAATTAAATATTTTAAAATGATATATTTAGCTAGCTGGGGTGAGGGGAAGTTAGTGGGGAATTGGGGGATTTGGTGTTAGGCTAACAAGGGGTTAACGTTAAAATAAGCTTTAAAAAGTTAAAAGTTAAAAAAAAGTTTCAATAACGTTTAAGTTAAAAGTAAAAAAAAAATACCCCCCTTTACCCAGTCCAAATAAAAATTAACCCCTGCCTACAGTGATCAAAATACAGATCACAGTATTATACTGTGATCTAATTTTTTTTAACCCCTAACCCTTTAGGATTAACTTTATTTTTTAACCCTCAGGGGTTCAATTAATTTAATTAATTTAAATGTTTTATAATTACATATTTTACTAGCTGGGGTGGGTGGGAGTTATGGGAAAGTGGTGAATTTACTGTTAGTGCTAGTTACTGCTAGTTAGGCGTTAACGGTAAAAAAAAAGATTAGAAAAATGTGAAATCTGTTTTAAGAAAGTTTAGGAAAATGTAAAAACTAGTTTTAAAAAGTAAAAAAGTCTCAAAAAGTAAAAAAACACATTTAAAAATGCTCATTACACCTGGAACAAATTAGAAGAAAAAATTATCCCACGCTAAGGTTCAAAATATGCCTTTTGAATTACCCCAGGGTGTATTCTTTAATAAATAGTATGTGTTTGTGGGGAAGTTTCAATGACCAATCATCGAAACTACTCCAAAATGGAATGGCTGCATCTCAAATGTGCCTTCAACATCCACATATAGAAACATAGAAACATAGAATGTGACGGCAGA